CCCATCGGTCAATCGTCTGCGCATGTGCGAACATTTTCATGTCGACACTAGTCCACATAGCGGGCTTCCTAGCTGTCTGAACCAAGTGTCACACTGGAGATATAAACCAATAAATTAATAAGTCACGGTGTTCTAAAAGCGTATAACAGTTTTGGTAAAACTCAAAACAACATAGTAAATCGACAAGATAACCGTACTTGAATTTTGCGTTAAGTTAGCAAAGTCTCGAGTTTTCCTTGCGTCAACATTTTTTTCCTGCATAGACTTCTCTTAAAGTTTCGATTATTGTTAGCATATTTTGCATGCCAGTGGTTATTTCTTGTTTTCCTTCGAAATTTTGTGCGGGAAGTTACCGCGCGGCCGACCAGAATCAATAGCGTATGCTTGATGTTTGACCCCGTGTACCCAACAGATCTTTTGTCGTTTCTGTTGAAAGTGCGTGGTCTGTGGTGGGAAGAAGGGATGAGGACATAATCGCTTAATGCCTTCTGGTCATCTCTTTGATGCGTTTTAGGATGACACTCCATATTTCTCGTACTCCAAGAGATCAGTATGAGAGTGCTTGCTACGAGTCACCATTATATGCGGAAAAATTTTCACGTTGGAACTCGCGTCTTGCGTCTTATATGGCCTTTTGTTCGGTCCTAAAGATTTGAGCTGAAATAATTCACAAACTGTCCAATAGAGCCGTCGAGCTTAGTCATTTGCAATCCATGTCCGCCTTCTACATTCCAAACTATCACGATTTGCTATTATCTGTTGAGCGATTTTTCTATCCAAGGTTTATCCGTTTAACTACAACGATTAACATCATCTATAAAATTACGCGAGGCGGATTATATTTCATAGGGCGAAAAAAGAAAAACATTTTCGTGTCAAAAGCTGACGCGCAGAAATTTTTACTTATGTTGACAGAACCGCCAAAGATTGATTTGGAAACATTTGAACCCGTGAACCGTATACTAGAGGGACGAAATGCAGTTGTCAAATGCCAAGCATCAGGAACGTTGCCCAAGGTAACAATCTGGTCTAGAGGTGGACAACTTGTGATGGAAAAACTGCGAGGAAATATGCTCGAGATCAGTGATGCTACCATGTATGATACGGGGAGATATTCCTGTACAGTTAAAAACCCCGCCGGAGAGGATACAGCAGAAACCTATGTACAGATTCGTAAGTACATAAAATAAGCGTCCTTTCAGCGGACACCGCTGCGGTCTCCTTCGCACGAGCCTGCGAACGGGCCCTGATTATTGGCGCTTCAGCAAATTATTAGAATTAACCCTTTAACTCCCAAGATCTCATTACTAATTCTCCTTACAGTCTGCCATACAGTTCTGGTGATGTTAGTTTGGAGAATTTGGTATTGGATCAACCAACAATTCCCTTATTAATTTTTTTCATTCTCATCAAGAGATGCGCCTGACGATGGTGCCTGTGATTACAAATTTAGTTAAAAAAGTCAAGTTTTTCTCCGCACAAATTGACTTACTTAATGATATTTCTTCATTCGATTTGTTTCCAGTCTCCTCAGCATGCGGAGGCTTGGTCGCTGTACATGAAAACAAGACCATAACAATCCAAAGCCCAGATTTTCCTTGGCCTTACCGGAAAGCAAAGTCCTGTTCATGGCGAGTGTGTCCTCCTCAAGGCATGAAGTTGGAGTTTAACTTTACCACCTTTGATCTTCGCACATTTGACAAACTGGAGATTATTAATGGTTAGATACACATTCATTCCCACTCTTAAATTCATGGTCCACTCAATTTAGCGCGCAATTGATATTCATATCCTACGAGAGTTAACAAGTGATAATAACAGTATCTAAGTGCCATTTGAGGGGGGGGAGGTATTACATGTCAATATCGTTGTATGGCATTAGTATGAGCAAACTACGTACCTCATTTTCCCTCCAAAGATAAAAAAAGAAACAGTGACATTAGCTTTTCCACAAGCTTCATTTTTAACCGTTTTCCTATCACACGAAAACACAAAGGCGACGTTTTCAAACTTATCTCTCAGAGCGTTTTTGAGAAGCGCCTGTTTCCGCTGGACAATTTACCAGATTGAGTGTGGACACTTAACTTCTCTGTGTGAAAATTTTTAAGTTAAAATCAATCCGGCGAATCTTGGACGGGCTCTGAGATATATTCAAATTTTTCCCCCACAGAATGTGATCGGCAACATTCTCCATGGAGGACATACTGTGGTTCCAAGGTGTCTCCTGGCTCCTTTCTGTCTCGTTGTAACTCAACTTGTATGCAGATTGTTCTGAACTCTGGCTTCCCTCCCAACAGAGTAGCTACTGGTTTCCAAGCCAATATCAAGACTTCAGATCCAGGTACTGTAATCGAAACCGGGAACAGCAGTAGCTTATTGCAAAGCCCAACGGTATGGAAAAAATCTCGTTCCAAGAGTTCCTAAGAAAGAGATTCATTATGCTCGCTCCACGCTCCCTCCTCCATTAACTCAGAGGAAGCGTGATGCATAGCAAGCCCCAAATGCAACGGTTGCTAAGGAGATCGGGAAATGGCAGGTTCTGAGGAATTATAGCGTAATATCAGCCTCAGTTATTTTTGCCCTCTTAATTCAACAATGATCTTAATATTTCACAGATGAAACAGAAGACAATCTGGAGGAAATGGTTTGTGGCAGCAATCTTGGTATGTGCACTAATCGTTATTGCGTTGTTGTTGTTGTTTTATGAAATCAGGCTTGGCTTTCCTTTTGGTTTTGTTCTGCAACTGAAGCATTATTTGAAATATATTCTCTGGAGTACTTATTTTAAAAATTACTGTCGATGGGTTACAGCCAGTGGGCGACAACGTCTCCTATCCATGTAAGAAAAAAAAATCGATGTGTTATTTAGAGATGTCGAGGGTAGACAGAATTTCGCGTGTGACCAGAAAACAAGTTCATTCCACTGACTGGTTCAGACCTTACCTGTTAACGAACTAACATGAAGAATCGATCTCGGATTTCCTATAAAACATTTGATGAGGTTGAAGAGAGGAGGAACATTAGCTAACCAGCTTTTTTCACCGAATGTAACGTTCTAAACAAGCGTCTCAGATGCTTTTTTAATCCTTTACCTCCCGTGAGTGACCAAGATAGAATTCCTCCTTACAATATCAATGCAATAGTATGCAGACAAGTGATGAGAATAGCGAAAAAATCAATTATGGGATTACTAATTGGTTCTTTAAACTGACATAATGAGAAGCATTTGACAGGCAGTAAGGAGAATTACTAATGAGATCTTGGGAGTGAAAGGGTTAAAACGCCGCAGTTACTGCACTGGAACGGGAAACCTTAGTTACCCATGCCCACATCTTTCTTTCTTTTTCTTTTTTTTTTTCTTAGTCGCCAGAGTGATTCCTTCCGAGCGCCAGCTTCTGGCGTTGGAGGTGAACGTGAAAATATTGGAAGTCCATAGACAAGACGAGCCTATGCTTGTTTCACCCGATGATGAAATCTCCATAAAGCACGAGTGAGTTATTGACATAAGACAATAAATAGAAAGATTTACTTTCTTCGTATTCCTCTCTCACCTTGAGTTTGAGTCTTTTTGTCCTGTTGCTGATGCAAAATTTTTTGTCGGCCACTTTTTGTGAAAAGCGTTAAGACATGAACTTTGCAGTCGATTGGCTGAGATCAACGCACGCTTAACGCGCTACAATTTAACTTATTCCCAATAAGCCTCTTTAGTATTGTTATGATACTCCTTGTTGGCAGTAAATTTCTTTACTCTCCCTTCCATACTCAGTTAGCGACGACTGGTCCTGAAAGCCATGTTGTCCCTCTAAATACTAAAATACAAAAATTTTATTCTTGATGTTTGTATATGCCTGTTGCTTTTAATCACTGTCATATTTCAACGTATCGATCTCCTGCCTTTTGCAGTTTTACCATCACAGACATGTATGGCTGTCCAATGGAGCTTAAAACCGGATCAGAATATTACATTTTTGCCTCGTTCGAGAGACACATTAATAGTGAAGACCCCATTTCCTTAGTGATGGATTTTGCCGTGGATCCTAACAACAATGAGACGTCTGCGAACTTTATCGAGCGGTTGAAGGCGATAAAAGAAGAACCGCCGCAATGTGAACCGCTCCCAGCCAAATAAGATAGTATTCGAATTAATAGCTTTATTGAAAAAATACTGAAACTTTAAACTAATTGGAACTGAAATGTACGGGCGAAGGAGAGTTTCTCCCGAACGTTTGCTTCAAAGACGTACTTGTAATTTGCTTTGCGATTAAAATTTTTGTTCAGCAATGAAGGCTCTCACTTGATCTTCCTATGCTCCAGTCATCAATTCGTACCATTCCCATATAACATTCTATTGCATTGGATTGTTTGTCTCGTTGGTTTTTATTCCCAAAATCTTAGTAGTAATTCTCCTCACTGTCTGCCATACAATTTTTATGATGTTACTCAGAGGATTTGGTATTGGTATTTTTCTTTATTGTCAACACTTGTCAGCTTAATATTGTATTGTGTGTTTGATATTGCAATGGAACTCATTTTTACAATAATTGACTGCCTTGAATGTGGTGATCTTGGATCTCAGAAGTAGCCCCTTGCCCGTTCAATTTCCTCTTGTCCTCATTGACATTGTTTTCGTTAGAAACCGAAATCGCTTGAACAGCTCTTCATAATCAAAGTACTGTACCCCTCGGAACAGCTGGTTATCCGCTGCGTAGGGTCTAAATCGAAGTTAAAACGCCTTTCTATACATCAGCGCCTGATTTTAACTAAATTTACTTTTAACATAAAGAGAAGAGAAGTCATATTATAATATTTGGTCAGCAGTTTGTTTTAACTTTTATCAAGAAAGGATTTTTCAGTAGTCCCCAAGTGAGTCTATTCGAGGAAGGATTAATAATTTAAACTCGATATTTGTCGCCTTCGATATGGTTTTGAGTTTTGTGAAGACAGTTCATATCCTTTTGGTTAGGTATTGATGGGTTCTCTGGGCTTTATTACCTTTTTGGGAATGAATGTCTCGCGACACCTTCCTTCTGCTTCAGTTCGCAATCTTTTAATCTTTTAACGTTGACCTCATAACCTTAACAGAGTTATTTTGAAACAATGGGCCGCGAGGATGTCAGTCAAGGATTTTCCTGAAAGTTTATTAAAATGTGCAAAATTCAAACAGTCCTACATTTCCAATAAAAAGTCTTGATTATGTTTACTGCAAAAAATTGATGAACTCCAAACTGGTTTAGCATATGAAAGATTCACCAACATAGTTATGTACACAAGTTTTGTTTTTCAATCATATCTTGAACCATCTGGATCTCTGTGAAGCTGTGAAAAGGACTAATAAATCTCTATTTAAAGCTTGTAAAATCCAAACAGCAAGATACTCCAAATTTCAATTAAAAGTCATGATTACATCTATGAAAAAAACTGATGACTTCCGCAAAATTAGTGTTTTTTTTTAATCCATTTCCAAAGAAGGAAATAACAACTCTTGTGATAAAGAATCTCGCAGTTTTAATCTATCCCCTGAAAGAGAGATATTTTTCCCTTTCCCGGTTCCTAAGTGCTAAGTGCAAGTTTTGGAATGTTTTTGAAATGATCTACAGGAACGAAAAGGCTCGGAAAGATTAGTTATTATGTCTAATAACACGAGTTCGTGTCTTTCCAAGTCTAACTACTATGGCGAGATATGTCATCTTGATATTTTCTTTAGAATAGTTTTGATGGCTGCCATTGTCATCATCAGTGTCATGTCACCCGTGGCTGTGGTTGGAAATGGTCTGGTCTTTGCAGCGATTTGGAAAAACCCATCGCTTCGTAGAGCACCGTCTTACGTTCCACTCGCTGCACTGGCTTTCACTGACTTTTGCACCGGATTCATCACAGAACCGTTTCATGTCACAAATCTGTTATTGATATTGAAGGATCCCTCAGTGATCATCAAAAACAAATCTGATTACTCAATAAATTGGAGCTGGCCAACGTACTTTTTGATAACAAAAGTCATCGGCGAAGGATTCTTGGAATACTTCTTCGCCCTAACTATTCTACTCGTAACAGTAATGGCAATCGAACGCTGGCTGCAGATGAGTCGCCAGTCTTTAATGACCGTACGTCGAGCTTGTACAACTGTTGCTGTGTTATCGCTCTTGCCAATGTCGGTGGTTCTTTGCTATTTTCAGTTGAAAATAAACATTGCTTATTTTATTTCGTATTTTTCATTCATTCAGCTTTGTTTGTTCGTCACTTCAGTAGCTTATTTTAAAGTTTTCAAGATAATTCGTCGCCATCAACACCAAATCAGTTTGCAACAGAACTTTGCTCAACCAGCAATTGACTTTCTGAAGTACAGGAGATCAGTTTTTTCCATTTTATTGATCTTGCTTATGTTTTATTTCAGTTATTTGCCCATGGCTATTCTTTTGATAATTATTTCAATCCATTCTGAAAAAGAACCCAGCATGACTATATATGCAGTTCTTGAGGTAACAGTTGTGCTCGCATTTTTGTCTTCCTCTCTTAATCCGCTACTTTACATGTGGAGAATAGCAGATATACGAAGAGAAGTTCGACAAATAATCAAAAGAATTTTCTGCAAAGAAAGCTGAACTCTGTAAAATGATTTTGGCCCGTTAACAGGTCATAACTGTAAATTAAAGAAGACCCGAGAGAATCTTTCAAGAATGAACATCAATTTGACATTGTCATCATCCGTGGAGGTGGACGCGCGCAAGCCGTGAACTGATTAAATATTTAAATAAACTTACATTGTAATTATAAATTGATTGGTTACCAGGTGCTTTAGGCAGGGTAAAGTTCAGTTCTTCGGCTTTTCTCTTCAACCACTTTCTCGATCGTTGCAACTGTTTACAAATTAACATTCCGTTATATTTGATTAAATTTTCCCATCGAACCGTTGTCCACCCAGGAAGACGACTTTTTAAATACATTATTGTTTTAATAAAAACTTTAAGTTAAAAATGTAATCACAGTTATCAAATACATTACGAGTATGAATTATCAGTCTGAAATTTCCATCAATTTATTTTTACGTTGTACACGAGGTCTTAAGAAGTCGTCTAACTGCAAACGGCATGGTAACTACATGGCAAGGCCACCTAAGAGAGAAGACAAAACGATAAAGATGCTCGTCAGCAGAATTCTAATGCAACAATCATTGCCAATTACAAAAGCAGGACATATTTTGTCTGCAATAACGCGTGATGCGTTATCAAAAACTTTTTCATCAAGAATGTCTCAAAACGGCTAAGCAACGGCCGGATGTACTGTACATCTACTAACTCTTGATTTGCCATAAAATCAGAAAGTATTATTTCGAATCAGTCAGGACTCATAGTTTTAACCAGCCAATTACACCTGCAGTACAACGTCAACTTCCTAAAATTCTTTCTGGCGGTTTATTTGGCAACGGAAGCGGGGCATCAATTTCTTAGAAACTAAAACATTTGAGATAATTTACAGTTAATCATAAGTATTTGTTCTATGCCACAAGTTTCCGCCATTGATCTCGAGATTAGACCTTTAGAAATGCGATGAAGTCATCATTCAGGAGTGTTCGGAAGTGTTCGGAAGTTTTCGGATTTCCACAAATAGGTTCCGATGATTATTAGCCAACGAAACTACTTGCATGAATGACTGTTATCATATCTGCCCAGTTCTATTCTCAATTTTTTTCCTTTTTTGAAAGATTACGTCCACATATTTTTTCTCTTCATCTTTGACGTGTTTGCTTTAAATAGGTCGATGTCAAACTCTTTTTCAGAGAAGAATTACCTGCAACTTCAATGCTTGCTCCCGTAACGTAACTGCTCCTCTCAGAAGCGAGGAATGTTACCACATCAGCTATATCTAACAAAATTGCAGAGAGGCAAAGTTAGTATTATACAGCCTAAAATTAAAAACAATTCAGAATAGAAAAGTTCACTTTACCTTTACAAAAACTGACATGTATGTAGCCTACGTGGGGGTTCCCTCCCTTCCGTTACTCCCTGGTGGGGAGGGTGCGGCTACACGTAGGCTAACATAAAATTATGATTAAGAACTGGAGCTTAATTATCACATATCAAGATATGTCGTGCAAGTTACACTCGTAATCAATCCCAATATAATTACAAGGATATTTGTTCTGTTCGAGGTGTTTGTCTAGTGAAATGTTGTGAAATCCGTGAAAAATAGTAATAATAATAACAACAATAATAACATTTATTTATGCCGCGCAAATTCAACTATGCAGTTTTCAAATGCGCCTTACAATTAAAGATAAAAAAGTAAAATACGATATATAAAATATATCAATATATAGTCAAAATTACACGAATGAATAATTATCTAGTCTACAAATTGCAATACTATATCAGAAAAGTAAAGAGTAAAGATAGCGAAAGTGACCCTTAAGTGGAAAGCAAAGCAGGTTTAGGTCTGATGGAGAAGATCTGAACCTCTCTTGGTATTTACTCCTTCGCCACAACTGCACACGTCTAGAACAGGCTGCTTTCCTTCTAAATCTTACCTGATGGCTGCCCAAATCTCCCAAGAGGGATCTGTTTCTTTACCTGCCGAAACACAAACAACAACATGCATACCGCAAATTTATCATTTGGATGGGCATTTAAACAAGCAAGCCTAAGCGTGAATTTAAACGCATGTGCGAGCAAGAGAGGGAGCTCAAGATGAATTAAGCAAATAGGACGGATTTGCCTCAACAAAGATCATGTAGCTACTGCAAGATCTACTTAACAAACTGGGAATTTGTTACATTCACATCATCTTTAGCAAATAAAATTCAAATCAAGAATAGGGTCAACCTCATTATTAAGGAAAAAAGATAGAGACCATGAACACAAGGTTGGAAAAAACTGAGTGATCAATGGTTGTTTCTGTTTTGAATGTTTTTCGTTTTTACTTTCTTACCTGTTCAAGAACTTTCTCTGGGACAGCATCTGTCATTGGAGTCTTAATAAAGCCAGGCAGAATTGCATTACATCTAACACCAAATCTGCAGTCACAAAACAAAGTAGCTGCTAACAATACTCAGAGTGCAAAGGTAAGGGTTCAACCAGTATATCAAGCTTCTATCTAACACACCAGGGCCCAGTTGTTCAAAGGTTGAACAACACTATCGACAAATAAATCACTATCCAGGAGATAAGGGTAAGAAAAACATACCACACTATCCAACAGATAGAGAATTTATCCAGTGGATAGTGTTATCTGTCATTCAAACAACCATAGCTTGGTGACCCCCACCTATCTGGGCTTACCCTTGTTTCTGTAACATAAAGAAAGTGAGAGTGTTGATACACCTATAGCACCTACCTACAAATCCATGTCTATCACAGGTCACCCTTCAGCAATTTTCTATGTGTCTCTCCTCCCTGTACCCATGCATACTATTCAAAAGAGGTGGAGTGAGGATAAGGTGCCTGGCCTTCAGGCACATAAACAATGACCTACCCAGAACTAAAACCTGGACCCTGCCTTACATGCATTTCCTCACACCTCCTCCTATAGAAAGTATGTTGCATGATGAGTCCAGATACTCAGAGAAGTTAGCCTGAGTCTCTCTTAAGTAGAGATCAATGTCACACAAACACAGCTACCTTGCCAGTTCCCTTGCACAAGTCCTTGTCAAACCTTCAACACCAGCCTTGGATGCAGCATAATTTACTTGACCAAGATTTCCTATCTGGTATGAAGACAACAGAATAATACATTACAATCACAATCAATGAAGATTGTGCCCTTTCCTTCTTTACATAGGTTGGCTCTAGCAGACCACATTAAAAATTTGTGTGAATGTCATCTGTGTCAGATAAGGAAATTAGCCATACACTCACTAGCCACATGCTTGTGCTTCTCACTGAGGTTAAGCCCTATTGGCTGGAGTTATGACTAGAATGGGTGACCACACAATATCCTGCATCATTGAGTTTCCTTCTCATTGTCTTGATTTTTTCAATTACATTCCCGTACTTTGAAGAGTCAACATCAAATTAATTATTTTCCTTGTAAAAACCAAACTGACTGTAGAAAACAACCATTGCATCCCATGTAAACATTTCAATTTTATCTTTCCTGCTCATTAGAATCTGTGATATGCTTTAGAGAACAATTAAAAGGTCACTCGATGCACCTGTCTCTCAACATGAAAATGGCTATATAAGTGTAAATGACCATGATTGTTATCTTGGAACCTCTGGTACTTATTTGTAACTTTGATCAGAGCACAAAAAATTACTGGTTTTGTAAAGAAACATACCTTTCCTGATATGCTGGCAAGATTTATGATAGATCCATTTGTAACTCTTTGACTGACCATCAGTTTAGCCACTGCTTGAGTGACAAGAAAAGTTCCCTAAATTAAGTAAATACAATGGAAAATGATCAGTATCAGTTATTTCTTTGACATAGTTACACATTACTTACTATATCTGAAGTTGTTTTAGCTTTTAGTGATAAAAACATCATTGACTCTTACCTTGAGATTCACTTCAATAACTTTGTCAAATTTTTTTTCATCCATCTTTATCAAGAATTCATCTTTTGTGATTCCAGCTGAATTGACTAAGATACATGGTGGCTTCTTATACTCATTGATGATACACTCAAGCACTTTTTGTATCTCTTCTCCACTTGCCACATCCAAAGAGTAGTTCATGTGTTTGTTGTTGGCATGTTTTGAAAGGCTGTCAGTAGTGTCCTGTGCTCCTTCAATGTTAAGATCAGTAACTACGATACTTGCTCCTTCTGTTGCTAAAGCTTGGCAAACTGCTCGACCAATACCACTGGCACCACCTAGCATATTGCAATTGATCACAATAACTTTTGGCTTTTTTGGCCTCAATTTCATTTCACGCTTTCCTCTATTCCCCCCCATGTGTGTGTTATTGCATTATGTAATTGCCTTCATTATGTACTGTTTCCTTCGGTTTGTTCCTCTCTGAATTGCGTCCATTGGCATTTATCCCTGGATTACATTTAGTTATTGTCATTGTTCTGTATTATTTTGAACAAAGAAGTGTATGCATAACAAAGTACGGGACTGCACGGAAATCTTGCTGCAACACAGGTAGCCTAAGCTCAGCTGTGAGATGCTCCTGAGAGAAGGATCTTCCCTTATGAGTAGTAAACCTAGGAATGCATAACTTGCTAAAATGACCTCGTTGCAACAAAGTAAGAAGTCAGACAAGAAGCGATGCACTGTGAAAGTAAGCTGAGGTATTTTTATTGAGAATTCGACTGTATCTTTTTATTCCTAAGAGCAATCGAAGATGACCATCTCACAGCTGGAGCTTGGGCTGCCTGTGGCTGCAAAAACCCTCTTTTGGTAAGAAAATAAACTTGGATACTTGTCCACCAACATTATCGATCCGTTCCAAAGAGCAAATAGTTTCCTACGACATGCGTAAAGCTCGAGGCAAGCGAGCAGGTTTTGCCAAGAGCAGAATCAAAGTAAAAACTATGTGACCAGCTCTCCCAGTCCCGTTAAATGCATACTTTTAGGTGCATGACAGGTAATTGTATGACCCATAAGAAATCAAAAGCATGGGAAGCTCTACACATGTTAGCTAATCTTACCAGTAACTAAAGCTAACCGACCAGAGAGAACGCTCCCGGCGGCCATCTTGGTGATTCCCACTGTCGAGGCCTGGTAGCATGGAACGTGGTCATGTAAACTCCATGAAATGTCTTAGAAGTTCAATTTACAATTTAATGATAACACATTTTCTGCCTGACTGATAATTGATGGAGGTATCACTAATGATACTCAAGCTGCTGCCAGTGGTCACTTGAGCTATGACGCCACCCGTATTTACTCGTCAGAAAAATTAGTTAGAAGTGGGGAGCCGGTTTTCTTTCTGTTCTTTGATTGGTTGAATCCGTTTAATGTTCATTTTACATACAAATTAATACGAAACAATAACCCCAGGCTAATGCAAACACTTTTAATAAGAGCTGACACGAACTAAAGGGAAGTCGTTGCTCGTCCCTCTGAGAATTCAATTCTTCGAACAGTTCAAAGATTACGCAACGAAAGGAACCTTTTCAATATGGTACGTTTTTTTATTTACCTTTTTTTATGGGTGCTGGTTCGTCAGGATCACAATTTGCATTACATCAACAAAGCCTGAAAAGCGCAATAAATCAGTGGATTTCCTTAATTACCATTTTAAGTAGCAGACATCGTAGTAAAGGAAAATAGTTTTAAAAAAAATAGAATGTAACCTGTTCTAGGCGCTAAGTTTGAAGGACGAGCAAAAATGCTTGGAGCGAGATGCGAAGAAAATTATGTAAACTTAAAAGATAAATGGTATAACATACCTTTCGAAACAAATTAAACTGTGAGGCATACTCCACCCTTGATTACTACATTTGCTGTGGTATCGAAAGTACGATCCTATGCCAGTTCTTAGTATTATTCTCGTTTCATTTTATTATTTCATTCCAGCGTGAGTGTATTTCAATACATATCGGTCAGGCTGGATGTCAGATGGGGAGTGCTTGCTGGGAGCTGTACTGCTTGGAGCACGGGATCCAGCCCGATGGACTGATGCCAAGTGATCAGACTATCGGGGGAGGAGACGATTCATTTAATTCGTTTTTCAGCGAAACTGGATCAGGAAAACACGTCCCAAGGGCAATATTTGTCGATCTGGAGCCTACTGTGGTTGGTGCGTCAAAATCATGATTTTGAATTTTCCCTTCAGCGCTTCCTAACTAATTTTATTTCACTTTCTCTGCAACAGTTATCTGAAACCAAATATTAAATTTACATTTTCTCATTTAAAACGCAAGTTGCGTTGTAAGTGAGTAAAAGTTCTGCTAGTAAAAAGCCTCCTACGATGACGACCACAGTCTGGTTTATGACAAAAAAGTGTTCTTTCAATTGCGAATCTTTCGTGAAATGTTAAGATTTCTGGCGCCCTCGAGATGGAAAGCCCCCCCAGGTTCTATGTTATGAAATTTTATCTGAAGTCGTTCTGTAAATGTTTATGATTTCGTTTTCGTGCGATCAATTAACTAATTATTTTGATATTTGCGCGCTTTAATCGCAAGCTCTGACGGATATTAGATTCTGAATTTTAAAGTTGTTCACAAGATCCTCCTACGAGTGATATTCTTTCCTTTATTCAAATTTTTGCTGAGAAAGAAAGAAAGATCATATGACTTAGCCTAATTTACCATTAAAATATCATATCTATGGTAATCAGTGACAACTTGTGAGTTGTTACGTCAATTTAAAAGTCGCCACTTTGAGAACTCGCTAAATCGAGAAATATTCTAACGCACAATCTTTAACTACAAAAAGTTTCGGGCCAGATTTATTCTCGTGCATCTCATACCTTAAAATTCGTAAAAATCATACGAAATTACTCAGTGGTACATGTATAAAAAATGTCCTAATGGCGTGAGTTTCTCGGGAGACGGCACTTTTAATTAAGAATTTTTCACTCATAATTCAATAGGCAATTTTAGAGAGGCCTGAAGCTTCCTTTACAAAGAGAGTCTTAATACAAAGCCTTTGATGAAAAAATCGTTTTATCATGCTGATAAAAGTAATATTCACAAGAAAGGTTTTACGATTAGCCTTATTGCGGAAAGTGAAGGTTATAAGTGCTCAGAAATGGTCTATTCAACAGAAACAAAATGTCTCAGGATAACAAAAGCAAATCACTGTGAGAAAACCCTTGACGCAGACTGAAAGCTCTGGGACAAACCTTAGGGTAATGACTCGGTCTTAAGCTAAAAAAGCTAAAACAAGCCATCCATGAAAAACGCGTCTTCGACAGTTAACGTGCATGTATGTATAATTGAGAGTTTAAGTTGAAAAAATTCATTTTTGGTTGGTATTTACAACATATCAATTTGACATCAAGTGGTAAGTTGTCGCGCAAGTGAAAAATGACGACAGACATGTTGGCGGCCTTGTAAGTGTTCTTCAAGCTGAACGCTTTTAAAGATCCATAAAAGATGCACTATCGCTAGCGTGGTTTGGCAGAACATAAAATTCAACACATTTTGCTTTTATTAATTTCATACTCGCTTCAGTTCCACTCATATGAAAATTACTGAGTACCTCATCTCTCCCTTTATACATCTCTATACCATTCGTCATCTGTTTACATCTCATCACCTCCTTTATATCGACTTTCGTACCTCATCCGCCATCCATGTTACTCTCATCTCTTCATTTCCCATTATTCTGAGAATTTCCTTGGGAAAACTCCACTTCACGGCTCTAAAATACACTGGGTGTCCTACTCTAATTCTATGATCACACTTTGACATGAATCCATATTTTTACTACACTAGGTAAACATAATTTAAGTATTGGTAAATCTCTCCCTCTCTCCACGCTCTCCTTATTGAATCATCGCTGGATTTCTGTATGCCGTCTTGGAAAATTTAGCCTTTTGAAGGATGGCAATTTGCAATGCGCGTAGATCTTCTTTAAAACTTAATCAGTCATCCTCATTCTTTTCAAGGTTATCCCTTTAATGTTGTGAAAACTAATATGTTGTGGTTTTCTTCGGGTTTGAGTTAATTTTCTTATAAAAGCAAACGCTTCGTGCTCTCTTGGCGTGTATAGCACCTTTCATTTACCACTACGTACATCTTTCTTCGATCCTTGTACAGATGAGATTCGTACGGGCACGTACCGTCAGCTTTTTAATCCTGAACAACTCTTCACCGGGAAAGAAGATGCCGCTAATAACTATGCACGCGGTCACTACACCGTTGGCAAACAGCATGTCGATCAAGTATTGGATAAAACCAGGGCATTGGTATATAATTATTTTTGATTTATTTTAGTGTGATGATATCTGATTTTGTTTCAAAAAAACACGTTACTATGCCTTTTTTCGTTTATTTCATATTTTATAACAGTACCACAGCGAAAGGTCATTGGAGTGAAAATTTAATCAACTGAATTCGAATACATTTTGAGAACATAAAAAGAAATACTGGAAAGAATGAGAAAACAAAAGCTTAAATTGAAGTAGAACAACTCTTTTTCAAGTCAATAACAAATTTTTATAGCCAATCATTTCCTATTGTATCACTTTTAATATTTAAACATTGACCATTTCTGCCACCGAAAATTATCCTTTTTTTTCTTGATATTATTTTTTTTTCCACTTCTCTACATGGGTCTTCAGGCCGATCAGTGCTGTGGTCTACAAGGCTTTTTAGTCTTTCACTCCTTCGGGGGAGGCACAGGATCTGGTTTTACCTCCCTTCTAATGGAGCGCCTTTCTGTCGAGTACGGCAAGAAATCAAAACTACAATTTTGTATCTATCCAGCACCTCAAGTATCCACAGCCGTAGTCGAGCCTTATAACGCCATTCTCACCACCCACACCTCCCTTCAGCACACGGACTGCGCGTTTATGGTTGATAACGAGGCTATTTATGACATCTGTCGTAGGAACCTCGACATCGAGCGGCCAATGTATTCCAATCTGAATCGTCTGATTGGTCAGATAGTATCATCAATCACTGCCTCACTTCGTTTTGATGGCGCATTAAATGTGGATTTAAATGAATTTCAGGTTGGTATGGGTTTCTACCTCGAGGAAGTGGTGAACAACATTTTGACGAATCGTAAGACAAATTTAAGGAAGTAAGCTTGAGATAATCGGCCGATAGTCCCTTTTAAAGTAGCATGCTTCGTTACCAGCCTTTGAACAGAGTGAGGGGAAGGGTGACCTTGTTAAGATACAAACGTTGCTGCTTTTCAGATGTAAATTACTCTCAAATCATGCTGGCAAGATACTGGTCTCTCTCACGACAAAACCACCTTCAGCTTCACTCCAAATCAAAGGCTTGGCAATTAAGTAAACAACTGTAAAATGGCCTATTAACTAAGCACAAAATAAAATGCGCTTGTAGAAGCTATAACCAAAGAATGCAATTTATAATCAACCCAGGCTGGTGGGATGCGACAAAAGAGTCCTTTTTTTCGGCTTTTTGTTTTTTTATCATCTTCCGAGTGGTATAAGTACGATCACCCAAAGGATATTTGTATGCGATTCGCATGGAGTGAATTGGTTCCGCCGGTCACAAACAATCGTAACACAGAAAATACGAAGACTGTATTTTGATAATTTTCAAAATCAGTATAGAGAACGATGGATGTCGGACGATTGAACTAAGTGCAAGAAATTTATCTGGTCACTCATCTGTATATACTGTCATTTATTTCTGCATTTATTTTTTATCACTTTCATTTTTATCCTTTCTTTCTAGACTAACTTAGTGCCATATCCTCGGATTCATTTTCCTCTCGCAACCTATGCTCCGGTTATTTCTTCAGAGAAGGCTTATCACGAGCAGTTAAGCGTTGCCGAGATTACAAGTGCCTGCTTTGAATCAGCCAATCAGATGGTGAAATGTGACCCTCGTCTCGGCAAATACATGGCTTGCTGTTTGCTGTTTCGTGGCGATGTGGTCCCTAAAGATGTAAATGCGGCCATTGCTAGCATCAAGACGAAGCGCACGATTCAGTTTGTGGACTGGTGTCCCACGGGATTCAAGGTCAGAGAGATTCTTTACCTTTTGAGGAAATTACACTTGCTCTTGCCAATGTGTCGGTAACAAGATCACAACTAAAAACTTGCAACCTAAAATTATCCAAAATATTACACGATGATTAAATATAGGTAATGTTGCTTTACATTCCTTGAAGCTCGGAGATGATGCTAGTAATTAAATGCATCATTGTTCCAGATCTCACCTGGAGCTCGTTTCTCGAAAGTCCTGATAACTTTACGGAGCGCAAATTACACAAATGTTTGCCTTGATAGTGAGGTCCAGATATGATCTGCTTCAATACGCATGCGCAATATGAATAAGGTTGCTCTTCTAAGACGCCCACTTAGTCGGAGACTGACAGCAATTTCTTAGACAACTGCAATCTAATTTCAGTAAGATAGACGATCTTTGAATCTCAGAAATTTTTATGCAGTTTCTTTTAAACTATGAGAAAAGGTTATTTTCTATACCATCAACGGTTTCTTTGTTGTGGTGAAAACAGGTTGGAATCAACTACCAGCCTCCCACAGTTGTTCCTGGCGGTGACTTAGCAAAGGTTCAACGCGCGGTATGTATGTTAAGTAACACCACAGCCATTGCAGAGGCCTGGGCCCGTCTGGATCACAAGTTTGATCTGATGTACGCCAAGCGCGCATTTGTCCACTGGTATGTGGGTGAGGGTATGGAAGAAGGAGAGTTCTCTGAGGCTCGTGAAGATTTGGCTGCCTTAGAGAAGGATTATGAGGAAGTTAGTTTGGATACCCCTAATGGATTGGAAGAAGATGAAGAAGAAGAGTTTTAATCATTAAATGAAAACTTGTTTACATTGTTGTCTAGAAAGAACTTTCATTTTTAATAAATTAATGTTTGCTTCCCTTTTCTACGCCGCAGAGTTCCGACAAGTATCATGGATGTCTGTTTTGGGAATAGCTCGTTTTCGTATTTTTTTTTTCCATTGTATATAATTTGTCATTATTCTAACCTCTCGATCGGGTAACCGGTGGTGACACGGTGAAAATAGGAAATTCTTTGAACTGACCTTTTCAATCATGTTATATTATGTGAGATACGAGGAAAAAACGAAAAAGGGTAAAAAGGAAATGAGTGCAAGGCAAATACCGTACTGAACACACGTCCAACTGTTCAAACTTTCCTAGCCTCCAGTTTCCGCGCGGTAACATATTAGTACATAGGTGCTGGAGCGATGTAACAGAATTATGCAGATCGGGATTGCGTTAAGTCATTGAAGTGTGGCTGTTTAGCTTTTTTATAAACTCTTGGACCCCTGAGAGTAACTTACATGTTATCTCTCTTAACAATGTCACACCTGAATCACACACTAAGGTCACGAGATAAAAGGAAATGTTTACTAACTAAAGAAGCTCTTGATTATTATACAAATTCTCCCTGTCAGCACCCTCGGAAATGTATAGAGAACATTGTCGAGAATATGCATTCTGATTTTCCGGTGTAAAGTGTTAAAGCGGCGACGAAATTTAAATCGAGTATCTGATATGCGACGAGCAGTTTTAATTACAATTGGAAACGAATGAAGAGGAAAAATTGCCACAGGGCTTGCTTTCTTGTATATACGCATAAAAGAAATGATTTTACGTTGTTTGTGGAGAACAGTTAGGAACGGTACAAAGTTTCAGGAGGCACGTGCCGAACCATTATTCTGTCAATGAAATATTTTGTTTGCCTCGTGCTTTCTGCTTCAAGCGTTTTAGTTGGCTTGTAAAGCAAACATCTAACCCTCCTCCCCCCTCTCCTCAGTGAAGAGAGTGTTTCTCTGAGACAATATAATATTCTAGTAGGGTACTGTGACCTCGCCGACACTCTGTTCGACAGCTGGCAATTATGACTGAGGTGAATTAAAACGCTTAAGCCACCAAATGGATGTACTTACACAACCCTATTCAATTAGACGCTCTTAATCTTTGGCGACTTTCTGATGGATTGAAATGTTAATAGCGCATTTTTAGATCGCGTGATTAGGCTTAAATCCATTTACAGACACCGCATTTTTATCGTCGAAGTTGTCGATGTTAATTCCCGGTTTCAATTATTTTTGGACTCTGAACTCCTAAGAAATGGACTCAATATAGCTTCAGACGTGCATTGGTCCTTCTTGGTTATAACAAGGCGCCTGAATGGCCTCGTTCGATATTTCACCCCGATAAAATGAGTATGATCCCATCAAATACAATATAAAAAAGTTAAAATTAATTTCAAAAGTTCTGGAAATTTAGATTGAGTAACCCGAACACCAATAGTTGTTGAAAATAATACATACTTCGTCAAACAAAAAGCAAAACATAAACAAGTTTACCTTTTAAATGTTTCTGATGATTTGGATTTTTTCAATCACAAGTCGCAAAACATTTTTTTCAAATTTTCGCATTAATTAAGAGCTAATTAATGTGATCAATACTACATAACTCTTTTACATTTTCCTTGCTGAAAATTCCGTAACTCTTTTTAAACCCGTACTTGAGAGAAAATAAACCATCAAATCCGTTTAAAATCAGATTGCGTGACTGACAGCTCAATAGAATATTCATACGAACTAATACAGTTCCTACTCCTCTCAGTTATTTTTTAACTCTCTGAGCATCTATAGCCCAAGATGGACCTAATTATGACCCTATCCCAGAAAAAGTTCAGTTAGCGTTGTTCATGAATGATTCCAATACTTAAATAATTGTGTTCAACCTCTTACCACTACTTCAAGTAGGCTTTTAGGCCGGAAAATCGATCACGTGATTTACACGCCCACGCGACTTGATAAACCATCTCTCAAGCCACATTTTACAACCCGCAAAATCTTGCAAACAATTGTGGGAAGTAATCTTGAACACATACGAATTTAAATCCCTTTGGAAATGTTTTGAATCATCCTTTAAGCTTGTGCGTTTTGAACACATAAACTTAAACAGCCGCAATTTCGCATGTATTGGTTCAGTAAGCGCAATACGTAATACTGAGGGTCATTACATATATGGTGAGGTAAGAGTCCACTTAACAAACCAAAATCATTATCAAAGTCTTAGTAACAATGGAACTGTGGCCAATATTTTGTTCATGACCATGTAGATCGAACAAAATCAAGCTCACTGCGGCTGCCTCGTGCATCGTGCGGCATCGTCAGTGATTTGGCAGTTGGTTGGGTCCAAGTCCATAGAGGTGAGTGAAACTTTATTTTTAAGAACTGGATCTGTTTCCCACTCAACAGGTTTTTGAAAAGAGACGTTTACCTACAAATATTTTGTGGTTTCTAAAGTAATGGAACTATTGATCGGAGGAGATGGAAAACTATTTGTTCCAGCTCAGAAGCAAACACTTCAGCAGATATATGACGATATCCCACACGTGGGTGTCCTGTGAGTAAGAGCAGAATAAGCGATAAATGTTATGATAAAAAGGTGTCACCTCCAAATTTATCTTTCATAGGTGCCAATGGTCATGGTTAAAACGAGATTATTAAATTCTTCGTTGTGTCGATCGACCAGTTTTTACGTCATGTTTTCTTTAACTTGGTATGTAAGCATATATCGCCGATCAAACAGGATTTATGCATTTTAATGAGTATATTGATAGAAACCCAAGTTGGAGTACGTGTACGTCACATGATCCAATTTCCCTACCCTCTCCTCCCTACAGATTTATTTATGCTTCATAGTCGTGTTTTGGTGCAATCTTTAAAGAAACCGGCTGGTCTCAAGATGTTGTGTTTTACCCATGTTTTTATTTTAGCGAGGGAGATTTAGCTGTGGAAATCGCTGTAGGAAGAGACTAAGTCGAGGGCTACGAAAATCCGATGGAGGAACAACCGGTGTCGTCCGAAACATCGAGCGATGCTCCTTCTTTGAGGTTCAATGTTAACCAAGTTAAGTTAGATCTTCCTGAAGAAATCGCGGACGAAGGAAGAGATCCGAGCCCAAGGATGACTTTTCCTGATTCGGAGACGCCAGACCGACCTCTCTCTTCTCTTGATGACGCCAATACAATCGGCTACGCGACTCACGATGCTGTTCCTATGACTGTGTTCTATCGAAATGACAACTCGCAATCGAATACAGCGAAGAAGTCGCGGCCAACACTGAAAGAATTGAGGAAAGGTTTCGAGGAAGACCACGAGCAACAGGTAATTTACATCTAGGCCATTTCCTGTGTTTTATTTCACCGCCAATCTAGCAATAATTTGTATTTTGCTGGAGCGGAAACTTTAGGAATTTTTCCACCGACATGCACAATGCTTCGGTGCGGTTGGTGTGTTAAAATTACGAACGTTAAGTTTCTGTTTAAAAATGCATTTTCTATTTGTCGCGTTGTTTTCTTCAGGGCAGAAAAAAACTGATACAAGATATGGCCTACATTTGTTCTAATTTTTTATTCAAATTTTGGAATACTTGGATAACTTCCCAATTATAATTAGGGTGCTGAAATGAAGTTGTTCATACTCACTCATTCATGCGTTGTCAAGATCAATATCGTTGTGTGCGATATTTTTGTGGCTGCAGTGTAGCTATATCAATTTTATCGTTTATTCATGATATAGGATATTAAACATTCATCAACGGTTACGAAACTTGCTTCATTCAGCGTTTGAATTCTTTGGTTTCGTAAAATATTGCATCGATAGACAGAAGATCGAAAGAAAAACATTTCTGATTGCGTCTTGAAGTCTGTATAAAAGCGTATGAATTTTTTTGTTTTTTTAAGTTGGGCGAGTGTTAAAAATTCTTAATAGGTAATCTTTGAAATAATAAGAAGCGTGTTTATAAAACTGGTTCTCGATCTTTCTAGCGATAAAAATCTTCTCAGTAAGGGTCATATCTTTTGACAATTCTTTTATGCTATTTCTGTACATCTTCAATATTTGAACAAAAATTTGGAAATGATTGTATTATGGACATTGTTTGTATTGTATAGGCAATAAGTCCTTATTTGACCCTGATCATAAATGCTCTTCCACACAATGTAATTAAATTGATGTCAAACGTTTCCGCTTAAACAGAAAAAAATTAATTAAACAGCAGTCTACTGTATTCGAATACAACTCAGAAGAGATAGACCAATTTTACTGCTAACAACCACCGTAACTCTTAGTGTTAAAGAAATGCATGAATGGGCAACAGTCATAATTGTGTTTATTAGACCTTCGGTGATAAATCAGAAGTGCTACCGATCTTTGATGTTATTGAGAATCAATTCATTTCTCTCCACAGTATTTACATCTGAAGAAAATACAGTCTCTTTTATTTATGATCTGTTTTCACTTGTTATGACTGTGTTGTCCTGTTTTTTAATGTGATATTATTACAAGCTTGATCCTCTTTCGGCACACATGCAGCCTTTCATTTGGTGTAATCTGTTTGACACTAATCCCTTTCAACTTGTTAAAGGCAAAGCTTAATCTCTTGTGAAAAAAAAGGAATAACACTTGTTCTGTCACTATTAAGTCTCTTACAAGGATTATTTGTGTAATGGCCAGTGCATAAATGAAGCTGACCAACAGTACTGCTTCCCTTCCCTTTAGATGGGATACTGGTCTATTGTTATTTACCTCCAGTCCCTCTTCCCTTCCCCCCCCCCCCCCCCCCCCCCCCCCCTCTCCACACAACCCCCTTTCATTGTTTCATCAGAGTTTGTTGCATTCTGTTTTTACCCTTTAATCCTGCTGGGTAAAGAGTCAGGCATTGTGAGGTTTAAGTGTTTTGCTTATGACCCAGCACTATGAGGCTGATCAGGACCCAGACATGGATTTATTAGCACAACTACAGAGTGTTAGTAGGGCACTGAGTTACCCAATTTTTTTGCCC